TGCGTTAGCGGTGCGTTCCCCCTATCAGTGATAGGCTCTCGCTCCACGGATAGACCGTTAGCTCTCCGGGTTTCATATCCCGTGGAATGGGGAAAATTCTGGACGGTGGAGAACGAGGGGAGTAATTTCGGTCCCTGGTCCTTGGATCAGATTCAGTGGTTCATCTGGGAGGTTCTTCCGTGGCTTTATGCATTGGTCTCGCCTCAGGACTAGCCAGGACGCCTGCAGGCGATCGAGGACGCTTAGGGATGAAGGGAGGGTAGCAGCGGGATGCATGATTGACGAGACAGTGTTGCGGGGGGCTGTTGAAGCAGGATGCTGGAGGGGGTTTTTTTTGGGTCGCAGTTCGAAGCTGGTTGCAAGCTTGAGGTGGCAAGGAAGGCGAGCCAGTTCATTCGCCAAGAGTTCTGCACTGTGGGCTTGGAATTTGATCTTCCTCGGCCCAAAATCCCACGCTGTTCGTGTTCCCCGCATCCCTCAAAGGCCGCAGTTGACTGCTGCTTTTGTTACCAAGTCCCCATGCACACATGATCACCTCCACGGAATCGCAAGTGGGAGGGTCAGCGAAAATGCCACATCACGTCGCGGTGTACACCGTCGTGTCCGTCTTAAATGCCAGGTATGGTGCTCGATTCATCTGACAACTCGATCTCGTCGATTTCTTATTCTGCCTTCACCTTTTCGTACTAGACCAAAGTAGTCAACATGACACAACGCGTGGCTTTCATCACTGGAGGAAGTGGTGGCATTGGACAAGCCACTGCTCACAAACTTGCAAGCCGTGGCATATGGGTAGTGATAACTGATATGGACGAAAAAGAGGGCACCAAAGTGGCGGACGAGGTGGCCAAGAAGTGGAATGTCAAGACCAAGTTCATCAAGCTCGATGTCACTCAGGAACAACAGGTCAAAGACGCCATAGCCTCGGCGTTGGAGTGGACTGGTCGTCTTGACTATGCGGCCAACTGTGCAGGAATATGTGAATCCATCTGGGCTGAAGAGGAAAGCATCAGTGTCGAGCTCTTTGATAGGTACGTGCAAGACTGATGCTCATTTGCGAAACTTCTGACTCTTTTTAGAACGCACGCCATCAACACCAAGGGCCTATGGTTGTGCCAAAAACACCAGGCGTTACAAATGAGGTCTCAGGAGCCTCGTCCCGTCTCATTTGAACCATCGCCCCAACACACTATCCCCGGACAACGTGGTGCCATTGTCAACGTCGTCTCCATTTCCGGACTTCAGGCTGCTGGTTTGGCTGCATACACGCCCTCGAAATATGCAGCTATCGGAGTGACGAAAAATGGAGCGAAATTCTACGGACCAGATGGAATCCGAGTCAATGCCGTGTGTCCCGGGTGGACTTTGACCAAGATGATCGAGAAGTCGATGGGCGCCGAAGGGACTATTGGGGCAAAGGAGAACGAAGAGTCGCCAGTCAGTAAAGCCATTGCCTTGCGAAGAATGGCATTTGCTCAGGAGCAAGCAAATGTCGTGAGCTTTCTGTTGAGTGACGAGAGCAGCTATATGAATGGATCGCTGGTGGTGAATGATGGAGGGTTCCACGACATCCGGTGAAGGACAGCCAGTTTTTGTGTGATACGATCCAATATAGACTTACTTCTGTACACCTTGTTTTGGTATAGACATCGCCATGGTTATGTAGACTGGACCTCTCTCGCAAGGTTGAATGAGTGGAAGGGTAGATTAGACAAGACTTAAAGAAGCATTTACTGGCGCTTTGCCTTGTTTAACTTGGTGCCAACTCTCTTTTCCCTGATCTCGTATACAGGTACAACCAAGACTGTGGTTGAGCAATGGCTATACCCAGCTATACAGACTCGGCACATCGGACCCGCCGTAGCCCGGGACTAGTACAAGACAAGGGAATATACAACATCCCAAGATTGACAATGATCAACGCCGCTCAAAGCTCCTCTCGGGGATGTAGCGAGTTTTACATGCTCTATTTCTGCTGTTCTTACTGATTATGACTCTCAGAATTTCGAGTCAGTTGTTCAATGTCTGTCACGGGACTTGAATTTATTGCCTCCCCGGACGGTGCTTTCCACACACTCCACAACGTTGGACACAGCATCCACAATTCCCCCCACAGACACGGCATTCCTGCTTATTGCGCTGGTCGATACTGAAGAACTTTCTCCAGCACGCGGTACCCACAAGTGGAGAGAATATGTTCCCCCATCCCACGGAATTGTCTCCATGGGAAGGCGAGTTTGTGTCTGTCGCCGATCTGATCACCTGTTTATATCCCAGCGGATACCCCGTCGTCGTCGCTATGATTTCTCAGGATTCCTATACAGATTCCTGTACACACGCAATCTCCATCATCACTTGAACAATTCCCTAGCAACATGTCGAACTTCAATCGAGGTTACGCTGGAAAGCTCCAAGGATTCTGGCTTCAAGCAGCCATCACCTTGTGCGCAGCCTGGGCCTTCACTCTTTTCGGTACCGTTGATCCCGGTCCCAGTTCCAATTCGAGGCCATGAACTCGCTGCTAACAGTCGTCCTCCTAGGATACGACCAAGGTGTCCTCGGCGGTCTCATTGCCCTGCCTAATTTCCTGTCGGCAAACAACATCGGTGTCCATGATGCGGATCTCCAAGGCACAGTCGTGGCCATCTACGATATCGGTTGTCTGAGTGGATGCATCATCTGTGGTTTTGTTGGCCAGATGCTCGGTCGCCGCCTGTTTATCGTCATCGGGGGACTTCTGATCTGTCTCGGAGCTGGGCTGCAGGCTGGGGCGCAGGGTACCTCGTATCTGATCTCTGGGCGTGTCGTTGGAGGTCTTGGAATGGGCATCATCACCGTCATGGTACCGGTCTGGGTCGCCGAGACGGCCAAAGCAGCGACTCGAGGCGCCTTGATCGCGACTCAGCTATCAATCGTCATCCTGGGCCTCACCATCGCCTACTGGTTCGACTACGGCATGATTCGCAACCATCCCGATACCGAGGCCGTCTGGCGTTTGCCCATCGCTTTCCAAGTGGTCTTCATCCTGTTGACCTTTGCCATGATCTTCTTCCTCCCGGAGTCGCCCCGTTACCTCTACGCCAAAGGCCAGACTGCCGACGCCGACGATGTCATGTCTCGCATCTACTCGGTCCCGGTTGACAGCGAGGAGGTATCCAAGCACCGTTGCGATGTGTTTGCGGCTCTGGAAGCCGAGAAGGAGTACAACTTCAATTTCAAGAACCTCTTTTACGATGATTCGCCGGTGAACACAACCTGGCGGCTGTGGCTTGGTGTCTTGGTTCAGGTGAGAAATACCGCCACTCCTGACTGTGAGGAGAGTGGTCAAGCTAACATCTGGTAGTTCTTTCAACAAATGGATGGGTGAGTGGTATCAGAACTGCTACTAACTACTAACTAACTGGTGCAAAGCAACAACATCGTCTCATACTACGCGACCTTTCTCTTCATCAATTCTCTCGGCATGTCGCAAAACCAGGCTGCCATCACGAGCGGTGGTGTCACATTACTCTTCCTCGGTGGGACTGCGACTACCATATACACAATGGAGAGATTCGGCCGACGATCAGTCATGCTATGGGGAGCCGTTTTCTGCTCTTTGTTCATGATCCTATTCACCATCGGACTCGCTGTCAACAACGACTCTTCCAACAAGCTTGCTGTTGTCAGCATCTTCCTGTTTGAGTTTGTGTTTGGTGCCTCGTGGTGCGGTGCGCCATGGATTGTAAGTTACTCACCAGAGTCTGAAGAGGGACATGACTAACTATTGGTCTCTTTAGTACGTACCTGAGATAGCACCTCTTCATGTGTAAGTGACACTTCCCAAAATGCCCCCAGCTGCCATGATGATCTTCATGGTCGGAGACTCCTAGAACCAAACTGACCATTCATTTACAGTCGTCACATTGGCACCTCGATGGGCGTCTTCACGCAATGGATCATCACGTTCATCGTGGTCAAGTTTGGACCGAAGGGGATCCAGGCTTCCGGATGGAAATTCTACCTGCTCTTCTGCGTCTTCAACGTCCTGGCCGTGCCGTTTGTCTACTTCTTCGTCAAGGAGACCAAGGGTCTGAGCTTGGAGGAGATCGACGTGCTCTTTGCGAAGAAGGAGTACAAGCACGTGTTGGAGGCAAGACTTCGGGGTGACGCAGAGGCGGGAGAAAAGGGTGCGGTCGAGAAGCAGGAGATTACCCATGAGACATTCGAGATGAAGTAGATGTACAGTGCGCACTGCAGCGGTGTTGTTAGAGGCATCGTCCTCGAAGGACAAGAGGAGGTTGAAGGACGACAATGATAGATTGCTAGAGGTTTAGAGTCCGGAGCCAGCCGCAGCTGCCAAAGACAAGACAAGTCAAGACAAGACAAGACAAGCCTTTAGAACTAACAAAGCCGCTTCCTATAGATCAAGAAGGATAGCCTAGCACCTGATCGTCCATGGATAGGAAAAGTTGCGCTTCTAAGCTTTTTTCTCTCGATTATGGCTTGCATCACCTTCATGTCGGAGTCAACTGCGTCCGACTGCGCCCATGTTCTACCACCACCACCTCCACTACCACCACCAAAATCCAAACTGTCCGTGCCTCGAAGCATCTACACAATCCACTCGATGCATTTCGCTTTTCTCTACCAAGCTACCCAGCCTCCATCGCTTCACCGATCGGATCGGATGCGGACAATGACTCATTTTCTGTACCTCGCTCAGGGATTTGGCCCCTTGGCTAGTCGCTACTTAATTCGACCACCGCGAGCCGAGGAACATGGGCTGTGGCAGTGGGCTGTGAGCAACACATTGAGTCATTGTCATCAATCCTTCGATGGCACTGCGTGTGATGGACACATCATATATTGCATGGAATGGTATGCACACAAACGGAGTGATGGTTTATCATGCTCGCCAGAGTCGTGTTTCTCCTACTCCTCCATCATTGGGCAAGCATTAAAGCAAATCGCCACATAACTATTGATATCAGCTCACAGATTGCACTCAAAATCCCACCATGCTGATCCATAATAGCTCCTTGGCCGACGAGATCTACGCCCTCAACGCCATCTACAGTGAGGGTCAGTTTGCCGCAACCTATTCCGATGCGCACCACACGACCGTGTCAATGCGACTTCCTGGGCTCAGCTATTCATTCCTGCTCCATGTTTTGGACGACTATCCTCAATCGCCTCCGAAGGTACTCGGAGTCGACAACCTCGTGGAGAGCTTGAAGCAGGAAGTCCAACAAAACGCCGTCTACTTAGGAGCGTGTGTCCAGGCCGTCCACTCCTCCGAAAGTGTGTGTCTATACGATGCCATCGAGGAGTTCCAGAATGTTTATACTGTCCTGCAAGCGCATACTCGTCAATCTCGAGACCCGAGAGAGGACGCGCAACTGAATTCGGCTAAAAGAGCCATCATACTGAAAGATTTGGCGGCCCGAGCCAGGGCGAAGGCGTCTGCAGGAGGCCACGAAAGCATCACCACGGATTCACGGTTCGATGTAGTCGACTGTGTTGTTTGTATGGACGCTTTCTTCAGGGTCGACGTCGTGAGCTTGGAGTGCCGCCATTTATTCTGTCGGGATTGTCTTCACGGCACGTTTGGGCCACCACCTTCGTATTTCGGAGTCTGGACTAACTGAGTACAGATGGTGCCCGGAACATGTTCAAGACGAGAAGCGAGATCAAGTGCTGTGGGCGGAGTGTACCACTCAAAGTGATTCGCGAGCACGGCGGCCTCGACGCAGAGGCTGTTGACGTCCTCGCCCACTGGCTCGAGGAAGTCCACGCTCCGAACCCGGTATATTGCCCGTGGGAAGACTGCCTGGCGCACATTCCGAGTTTTTGGGTCAAGGGAGACTACGTCAAATGCCCTTTCTGTAAGAAGAGGATGTGTATGGGCTGCAGGGGAAAGGAACACAGCGGGTTATGCATGCGAGACAAGAAGCTAGAGAGGCTCATCAAGAGACAGAAATGGAAGTTCTGCCCCGACTGTGGGCATCTCGTTGAAAGGAAGGAAGGATGCAACCATATGACCTGCGTTTGCTCCTCCGAGTTCTGCTATCGATGCGGAAAGACTTGGGAGAGGAGCGGACCGACCTGCGACTGTGGGTTCTTTCGACCACTTGATTGAAAGGGACAACTGACCCAGGACTCCCTCATGTATCACCAGTTCGAGATATGGAGTCATGTTTTGGGCCCTGCCTTGGATGGTCGCCGTGCACCAGCATGTCACAAGGCAGCCTCGTTTCCCAAGTACGACTGTCTCGCACCTCACAGACTATGAACGACCGCCAACTCGCCGACACAGTCTAGGCACGACTCCCGTATTCATTCCAGAAAATATCCATGGCTTCCGAGAATGATTTGGTCGGCAGATCCAACAGCCGATTTCCAAACCCGGGCCTCCCTTCATACTGATTACCCTGTGCGAAGGTGCCAAAGGTCAACTTTGGCAGCGCGCTGTTGTCGCCATTCCTGACCTCCTGCTTCCCTTGTTCTAGCCACGGGCCGTGCTCGACGTTTTCTACCTGCCACCCGGGCATCTTCTGCTGCACCGCATCCAACATTTCCTTTTGGTTGGTCCTGAAATCCTGGACCAGCAAAATCCGATTTTTGGACACGTCGGGCTTCTCGATCGCCTTGACCACGGCCAAAGCGACGGTGTCCATGGTTGTGGCGACGAATTTGGGCTCGCCACCGTCTATCAAAACGGCTTTCTTCTGGTCGAAGTGCAGCTGAAAGAAGCCAGAGATGAGGCCCATCTCAAAGAAGGCGTTGCAGCAAACACTGGTCCACTCGAGGCCCGTGTCTTGCTTGGAGATCAGGTAGTCACGAACGTCGTGCTTGATCTTGAACATCTCCCGCAACTGGAGCAGCCAGTCCGGCAAGTCGTCCAGGCCGAACTCGGTGGGGAAATACCGCTTCACTTTTGCGGCGATGCAGGCGTCGATGAACCTGTACTGCTGGTGCATGCCCATCATGGAGATGGCGGAGATGACAACGTCGACATCCTTGAAGGCGTCTGTGAGCTCGGCGACCGGATAGTCGTCAGCGACGCGGGTGACGGTGACGGCATCGGGGAATTTTGCGGGGGAAGAATGGCGTGTCAAGACCGTGACCTGGAAGTTTTGTGAAGAGGCCAACAGGTGTTTGAGGATCAGAGTACCTAGATTGCCGGAGCCGCCGATGAGACAGATTCGTCGAAAGGCCATGATTGTGGAATGAGTAGCGGGAGCGGGCCCTTTGAGGTGCACGAGCTTGATGTGACTGACTATGATACTGATATCGCCAGTCGTAGAGAAAAGGATGTAATTACTTGTATATATCGTACTTTCGTAGGGGTCCTTACCTACAGTAAATAGATCCGTTTGAGGGTAAGGGGGTTACCTGAAAGAGAGCTCTTTGACGTCTTTTTTCCCCCTTTCCTCCTGTTCGTGCTACTCCACCCCGTCTATGGTAATTCTTCTCAGCTCCTTCGGCAGATTGAATCTTGGGACATTTCCGGATGTGGAACGTGGAGCGTGGGGCAAGTTCTTGAGAAAAGAATAATAAGGGTCTGACAGAAAGAGTTTTCTGCGGGGAAGGCATGTCTCGCCACCACCACCACCACCACCAAGCACGCAGGTGGCAGGCTGGCAGGGCATGTGGAAAGGCACGGGATAATGAAGGATAGACCGTGTCAGACAATAAATAATTGGTCCTACCTTTCTTCATCTTCACCCTCACCTTCACCTTGACTTTGACCTTGAGCATCCCCTTTGCTCTCGCCATTATACCTCGTACCTGATCCCCGAACAGTACTCAGGATGCTCGATATGTTGGGAGGCAATTCGACGTGAGTTAGAAAAAAAACCTCCAAGAACAAGGGCCCATCATCCCTCGTTTTATCCTTTTTGCCTTTTTTTTTTTAATATGTTTATTCGATGGATTGTCTACCTGTACCATTAGCGCTCCCGGTACCTCTGTCTTTATAATTCAGGACACGCGGAGTGATACAAAACGAAATCCTTGCGATGAGATGACAAAACTAGGTTGCCAGGTATACGAGGTACATGTTAAGTAGGTAGACCTGATGTGTCCGTCTCTGCATTCTGCGGCGTTACGTCTCCACCTTTGGCTGATCGGGCTGCATCTGCACTTTCATGGCCTCGTCGCCGTGGCCGCCGCTTCTACCAAACTCGACGCCAGCTCTCTTCATCTGCACTCGCTGCTCCGCCAGCGCGTTGATCCACTGCCCGAGCCGCCACCCAGCTTTGGCCACCTGTTCCTCCACAATTGGCACTGCGCCCCTGTAGTAGGCGTCAGACAGGTCGTCGGGCCCCCGCCATTCCCAATTGCAGCACGTCTCACAGGGGTCTGGGCCGAGGTTTATCCCGACGTCCTTGAGCACATAGGTGCAGATGAAGGCGTTAGCCTCGGACGCCCAAGCCAGTGCACACTCCTGCGCCTTCGTGATGTTGGTGCACTGGTCCGACACGTCTACGCCACCCCTCCCAACGTCGAGCCGCTTCTTCAAATCCGCCGCCCACTTGACCGAGAGCTGCTTGTCATATTCGTTGTCCGGGTCCGCGTCGCGCGGCTTCTTGTACCCGCGCAACTTCTGGATGATCAGCTTGTCCCACACCTGGTGCAGATCCTCTTTCCTCGAGTCCGCCGCGCCCCATTGAACCATCAACTTCGTGCCCCCGCGGCATTTCTGCTCCGTGTGTAAAGGCTGCGTGATGTCGCCGAGGAAATGCAATAGGAATTTGAGGGCGTTGCTCTGATCTCCTAGCTTCAACCGTGGATTGTTGACTCGTTTGGTCTTTTGACAACCCGTCACCATGGGCCATAGAGCGTCAGTTTACACACCATAGTCTTTTTTAGGATAATATCAATGTAAGGTATGGGCAACTCTCTCACCATGTTTGCAATGGCCGTCACGATACATTTCTTGTCAGGATCGCAGTCGGCGTTGAAGTTGACCTTGCATTTCTTGGGCGGGTTGTCCTTTGCGTCGATATAGTGCCACGGCTTGGACCAGGGCATCCTAGTCTGCGTCGCCCAGTCATCAGCCCAGACCGCGCCGTCGGAGATGTCGAATGACTCGGTCGGGTGCACGAGCTCGTCAAACAGGTTCTCTGCTTCCGGGGTGAAGTACATCTGGGCGAGGTATCCGACGGTGCGGTGTCCGAGTTCGCCCCATGAGAAGGCCTTGCTCGCCAGACAAAGGAGGATGAGAAGGCGAGCCTTCATCGTGAGGTTCGCGACGTCAGTAGAAGTGCTGTTTATGTGTTTTGAGCGCAATGATACGCAGGTACCCAACTACCAGACGTCAAAGTAGAAGCAGTGCTGGAGAACAAGAACTGGCTTCTACCCCGGAATAAATAGCGAATGGACAAGGAACGAGCATGTGCCACTGGATCTCAGAGCTGAAAGCTTCTGTCTCTTGAACTCTCATCCACCACATCCACATGCTGAGAGTCCGTGCTGGAGCTGCTGCTGTGCATTGGTTGTAGAGATTCGAGTTACACAAAGGATGGGGGAGTGGAGGGAATACGAACAGTGAGCGTCAGGAACACGAAGACAGTCGCGGGCGAGTACAGTTCAGCTCCTCCAAGATACATGTAGCCAGCCAGCCAGCCAGCCAGCGCCTTTGAAGAGCGGAAGGGCATCCAGACCATGGTTGTGTGCGGAGTTCCTCAAGGGTACATGCTCGATGCTCTATCGCGTGGGCGTTCATGGACAATCCGTGACCTGCCTGTCAGCGAGAAACGATGCCTTTTGAATGTCCTAGGGAGTTGACTCTGTAGCACTCTAAGGCTGTCATGGAAATTCTCGCGTGCTTTGTTTGTGTCTGTATGCAGGAGCTGAACCACCTTGACGAACACGAATACGAACGCAGAGGTGGGACGGGGCTCGGCATTGATCCTGAGCATTCAGACAGCGCGACATACAAATAGTGTCTCCTGGCAGGCACCGCTTCTTGACATGACATGACCAATCTGTCTGGCGGAGCAGCACCGAGGTCATTTCTTATTGAGATGGGCTATACCACCGGCTGGTAGATTGACCTGGTGACAAAAGGGGTACAGCCTTGTGCGGAGTCCACAGGGCACAAGGCTGAAGGGATGGATAGCATGATGAGTGTTTGAGCCACACGGTTGACTTGGACCTGATGCGAAATGCCTCGTAGATTCCGTCAATGATAGATAGCTACAATTGCAGCGAGGTGTCGGAGACACGTCTTAAGGCCTGCACTCAACTGAAAATCCAATACCTGAAGCATGGCCGCTACAATATTTTGGCACGTTTCGGGTTTCAGATTGCCACGCATCCGTGCCCACCAGATCAACATTACCATTTGGGGTATAGGGACAACTTCCTCTTGACTGTGAGGAGTTGCATCTCACGTCAGAGCAGGGATCAATTCTCTCAATGTTTGTGCAATGCATCGTTGTCACTGGGGCCTCCACCAAAGCTGTGGTTCCGCCGAGACAAGGCTGCGGGGTCCCGTGAGAGGCTTTGGTCGTGACTTTGTGCTTGGAGAAGTCGTCTTTGGGGCGTCATGCCAGACAAACAAGTTTACAGAATCACAATCAACAGCTGGAAACAGGTCTAGGTATCTACTCTATGAAAGACTGCAGCGCAGTCTCTCATT